AGATGGCTCACTGAAGAAGACCTAACTCGACACGAAGGCGAAGCTGCCACGTCGAGGCGAATAACAAGCGATGACCATATACTCGGATCATCGGCTCTGAGGAAGACGAAGACGTCGAAACGTTAGCCGAAAATAAACATCATTATCAACCTCGTGTAAGCTCATGAAAGAAAGAACTAGAACAGTTGCGTTCTATCATTTGACTGCTCGCACGAAAGGAGACTACAAACATTTGCCTTTTTTTCCTTAATACTATCACTAAAAGTATTAAAACCGTTCCTAGCTCAACAAAAACAGGTGCTGTAAGAGAGGTGTAACGGTAAATGAACGACCAGTCAAATGAAAGTAAATGAGTGGTTTATGAAGTTTCAACGGATGAACGAAACTATTGTTTTCTACATCATATATTTTACTCAAAAGATTTTCTCCGACCCTACATATTCCCAACATCTTTGTGGCAAGTGCATGGGCACTCTAATGGATAAGCACTTCTTTAAGCTCGTCAATTGTTGCTGCCTTACCTATTCTAACACATTCAATAAGAGTGAAATACAGAAGCTACTATTTCAAAAAGTAATTGATGTAATTGAAAAAATTACTTGATTAAAAGAAAACACGCATTGTAACTGAAAATGAGCTCGGAACTTAATTCTTGCCTCAATTCACTTTTGATTCTGCTTTCGGATTAAAAGCGCCTCATTCAAATGTTTTTCAATGGCTTGCCGTCTCATTGCTGGAGCTATTAAATGATGAACCTGAAGGGAACACAGGTGCTAAGATCTCAGAGTTTCTCTCAAGTTGAGAAGAATTTTGACATTTTCACCCTAAAGCTCTTCTGCGAGTCAATCAATTTTAGCGCTCTTTGCCACACTGGAAACAACGAAGCCAGTAGCTGAAATATGATAAAACACTAATAGATCTTTACCGCGGCTTTTGAGACTCCAGGAGAACAAATTGCTGCCCAACCAACAAGTAAACACAATAAAGAAAAAAGGAAGTCACTACATAATAATTGGTCACCTAACAGGCATATTGTAAATGCAGTTATCCTTGTTTCCACTGACATTATAGGATATTAAGGATCTTTATCACAATTCTGCGTACTCCTCTCGTAATTTTAAGAGCTGATAAAATAAAAGTGTACAAAAATTTTGGAAACACAACTTGTAAAATATTGCATCAAATTGATTAAGATCGATGTGAGAATGTCTTCTCAAAAAGCCGAATTGTGGTTGTCTTGCTTCGCATCAATCCGCATTCAAGCATTTAGAATTTTTCGCTATTGAGACAAGTGGTTGAACGATGTCGGCCTTGCATGAATCATTAGTGTTTTGATATTCAACGGATACGATTGTGCTCACCGATATGACCTCCTGAGTGTGGCAATTATCCGTAAGTTGACGAAGGTCAAGATGGCAAAAGGTAGGAAAAACATGACCATTGTGTACGCAGCGTTGCGGTACACTACCGTATACACGCTGTTCATCATCAGATTTGTCGGGTAGACAACTAATGACACTCTGAAATGGCACGTAAAGAACGCGTTCTATTGCTCATCATGTTACACGATAGATATTCAAAAATTCGGTCGCAAGAGTGTGCGTTGGATATGCTCGAACTACTGTGAAATACAAAAAAAGATTACAGTTGAACTCGTTTTAAAAATGTAAATACAAAGCGTTGATCAATCGCTGAGAGATGTGCCATGCATTAGACTTCATCAAGCGTAGTTAGAGGTGACTGAATGAATTTCTGGCCTGTACAATGACTCGCGGTTACCTACCGATGTATCGAGCCAGTTCTGCCATCCTTTCAGACAAGTCGATACCAATTTGTTTGACCCGGAGGGATGGAAGGCATGATGAGCCCGTGGTGTCGATAACGATCCCATTTGTATTACAGAGCACCTCTAACTACTGCCTTCTCTTTCTTAATTTTCATTTCTACTCACTATTTTATTGAACAGTAAAGGGAAAACGAGCATGCAATCACAGCTTGCAAAAGGACCACTAAATTTGGCATGGTGGAAAGGTTGAGATGGTCACCACATTACCATAAGCTGATGTGGGGAATAATGCTAAGCCAATAACAACATCGTTTACTTTCTGACTTCCAAGGTATTTTGTTTGCTGTTTTGTTTACAGATAACCTGTAGATAGCTAGATAGCATAAAAATCAGTAGACGTCTACAGTCGTCGTTCATGGAAGAAATCAAAGAATGAAACGCACCTTTCGTGTACTTTGGAATAGCACGGCATCGCCTGTAATTCGAACCATCTGCTGGTGTTGAAAAGGAAGGCAAACACAACAGCGAATGCGATCACACCCTTCACTGTCGATGAGTTTGACACTCGTCTGATCTGAAACCCCCCACTGTCGAAGTGATTTTGAAATGAAATCCGAGAAAATGAGGTCTTTTGACTGGTCCCAATTAACTGCCTAAATCATTGTGCTCCTCTTCTGCTGAATCTGTTCGAGTGGGTAATCGTATTTGGAAACTCATAATTATACACTTGTTAGAAAATATTATATCCCAAAAGTTGAACATTCTGGTTCAGATAAAATGGGAAGCGTGGCTCTTCGATGACGGATTGTGTTAAACTGCGGAGTCAATCTGTTTTTCCTTTGATTTAAGCACCGTAAGAAGCTAAGAAATGTTTGACACTGACTGCTTCTCTTGACTTAGTTTGTCATGCTCGAAGCAACCTAAAACTGCTAAGATGGATTAGGGACTCAAGCTTATTTTATCTCTTGGTCATATTAGTTGGTTTTACCTTGTACTGCCTAACAATCTAATGTTTTTCCATATGCGAAAGAAAGTCTGTTTATGTCTTTAATAGAGCAAAATGATGTGGTCACGTTTTTCTCACGATTTTTTCTATTTTCTTCAAAAAGATCATCTCAAAGAAATTATGTAGACCAAAAGACTAAATCCCGTATCGTGATAGATTGTTACTAGATCTTGAAGAAACATAATCTAAAGCTAACCTAACAGGAATTGTTTATAAAGCCTGATACCGTAATTCGACTAGGATACATATTTTGGTTAAAACCAGTGGATTGGTTTATATCGTAATTTACATGGGACGGCTAAAGAGCTTTGAATCTTCGCAATTTGTCGGGATAGTGCGATTTGCGTTACCGAGAGGCTCACCAGTGCGAAAGGGTTTTGGCGATTCTTATTGCGAAATAGTAGAGAGTCATGGAATACAATTACAGTGATGCCGAAATATTTGCAAAACTCGGATCTTTGGCGAGATCCAATCGCGACCACCGGCGCTCACGTGTTACACACTACACCGCCGAAACTTTTGCTTTATCTTCCTCTCAGCCAGTCTTCTCACCCTAACGGTGCCGTGAACGGTCACCCGTCAACGAGAACGATTTGAGGAGTACAAACTAGCATTAAAGCCAGTTAAGCTGAACCTGCCATCGAAATCAAACGTATAACTTTGTTTAATTCATTGCCTATTACTTTTTCATGGCACGGTATCATAAAGTACAATCATAATAAGTAAAAGAAAAGGCAACAAAAGGTGGTTATGGAATGTTTCGAAAATCGCAGGAAAACCAACCAAAAACGGATGACAGACTCCAACAAAGCGGTGAACTGAGACGAGGATGGTGAGGTAGACGGACATCGTAAGCCCTGTTTGCGCTAGCGGGTAGAACCAGAGTAGCAATAACGCCGACGTCCGTGACATGCCTGCAAAATTGCGCGTACTCGTCTAATTAGAGCACTGCGCACAACTAACGAAAGCTCACCGATGTCGTCGGCCATTTCTGCATAAACAGGAACGGAGAATACGAAGAACGAGGCTATGAGAACTGTGAGGTCGCTTATTGACAGCACGAAGAGGAACCAGTTAACCGATTGGCTGCGCATCTGAAAATATTCACGAGAACTTCTCCGATTCACGTTCTTCTTTGCAAACAGTATTGCCGTATTCTTCGTACTTTTGTTTTCTGCACTCTAAAGTTTATCTAAAATCGCTTAAGGAAGGCGAAAGTTCGTAAGTTTCATCGTTAATTCTTATTCGAAGCATATTCGCTTTTGATGATTGAATTTTAATTACATGAGGAAAATTTTTTGCAGATTCAATGCCCATATGTTAACGCACGGACGCCATTTTTTCGAAAATATATGAATCTGGGATTTCATAAAGCTTTTGGCGTACACCTTATCAGTTAAACCCTTCTATTAACTTTAGCCTAACTACACACAAAAAAGGCAATGAGAAGAGACAGAAGAAAAAGCGAAAAAAATTTAACTGAAGTCTGTTTTTTCCGCGAATTTTTATTTTCTTCACTAATTGCGCTATTTTATTGAAATGTTTTGATTCTGTAGACGTAGTTTTACACAATTAATGAGGAGATGCTGAGGGCGGACGCTCACCGAAAGTAACTTTTCTGCCGCTACATCACGAGGGAAATTCCTACTTCTTTGAAGAATAGGAGAAGATTTGTGTATAAATTTCGATTAACACCTTACGTTTTTTTGTGAGAATACAATGATGTTTATGGAATTAGCGAAGATTCCGAATAGGTAGGTAATCGGCATCAGGTAGGTCCTGAATAGAAACTGAATCCAAGTAAACGAGTCGGATGGTGAGGAATAACAGACGTCCAGCGAGTCCTCCAACAATGAGCTCACACTCATGCGACTCTGGAAATTCAGAACAGGACTTCTCAGTTTGTCGTATACAAAGAAATGTGCCAATGAGGTGCGCCCAGAATGAAATGATGAAGCAAGGGAAAAACTTAAAGCATCAAATTTACATAAAAAGGCTTTCCAATTATTGGCCCTTGTTTCAAATCTCAAGCGCTTGAGCGACGGCTCACAGACAATACTTCATACTAATAAGCTGGAAAACAATACATGAAATGAGAAGCGAACGCGATTTCAATCGGTTTTTAATGTTTTTAGTAATCATCATAGATTGCCGCTTTCATGTTTCGCTCAACACTTACACCCCTAACGAACAACAGATCATCTGCGGGATTAATTTGTCTCAGAAATGGGTTCAAAGAAACCACAATCGACGCTTGAAATTTACGTGAAAGAAACGAGAACACCTTGCATTATACAATGTATAACACAAGAGGTGCAGACCAATTAGCCAACTATTATATTATCACAACAATGGCGAGATATTCGCAAAACTGGGACTCCGGGCCAAATCGAACCACGATTTTCTTTACCGGGGAACCTGCAGTGAAAATTGCACTAGGCAGTAAATGGAAAAGTAAGTATTATATTATCCGCTGCTTTCCTTCAGTAAGTAGTATCATATGGCATACCAACACCGTGTTTGCTTATTGAAGAAAACAGCGAGTTATCAATTAATGCCGAGATTAATACGAAGCCGGTCTTGAGAATATTATTCTGTCGTTAAAATGCTGATAGGGCAGAAAAACTGCGAATTATTAGAACATCCGTGAACACCTCGCCCTGATTAAATACTTTAGCTTTACTGAAACTGCTCCTTGTCACTTATTATTGATGGATCATAGAGAGCGCTACCTAGAAATTAACCAACCTCTATTTATTCAATAGCCACAACTGGACTACAATCGCATATCAACAAAATCATGCAAGCCGAATTTTTTTACAAGCTTTTTATTTTTTTTTGGTATCATCTCGTAGATTTATCGAATACGATTCAATCAGTGCTGTTATAAAATTTACCCGTCCTTGAATGATGTTCCATGTACTTTTGCGCACTGAGAGAATTCTGACGATTTATGCTACTAGCTCAATTCAGTCTAGAAAGATTAGAAGTAGTCATCTATGTATTCACCTCCTCATTGCTCCATTACTTGCCACCCATGAGCCCACATGTGTTAATCTCGTTACACTCCCTTTGTTGCTATTCACGCAAAGATTTCGGTATCCAAGTTTGGTGTTCAAATTGCGGTACAACGAGAAGTCTCGTTTGCTAAACCATAAAAAAACAGGAACTCTTCACTGAACCAACTCACAAAGGCTTTATGATCCCAGGGAGCGATCGCATCGAGAACGGTTGCATCGCAAGCACCTCTAACTGAGCTATACTCATTATATCATAATTGTTAAATGTAATGCAGCAATAACGTAAAAAACGAAATAATTAAAACATTTTTCGACTCGACTACGGATCGATGATGAGTATACCAAGACGTGCCAGTGATACTAATCAGTGTTACTTAAAGCAGTTGTCCTTTTTACGAAAAAAACAAGCAAAGAGGAAAAAATGTTGGCGAAATACATAGCCGTGGTAAGTTCGGTAAAAACCAAATAAGCAGGTTGGTAGGTTAAGTGAATGACGATTGTGGGAAGTACCGTGAAGGGCAACTCATAGGATGGCTGGTTTGATTTATCTTTTAGAAAGATTCATTCCCATAAGCCTACCCTTGGAAAGGCAAAACTTTGTTTTTAAAAGCTATAAAGACATCCATTGGAATGTAACTATGAGATATTGCTCAATGAAGGATGAAATAAATTCATTCAACTGGCGCATGGGTAGGCCGAGATGGGTGGGAGTGGGTGGGTTGGAGGGAGGGGCTGACAAGGTGGGTTTGACATTCATTTTCTATTCATCATCAAGCCGCAAGCCCAAAAAAATGTTGCGACTGTTCACAAAACGATGCAAATAACAGAGCAGAGAAAAACAGAAAAAAGTGAAATGACCAAGACGTGCATATCTTGAAAAGTGACGTCCTTCAATTCAATAGTATTCCGATCATTTGCTTAACCAGAACGATTTCAAGATTGACAAACACTTGGGATAATGTTTGTTTGAATCTATAAAGAAATAAGGTGATAAAAATGACAAAAGAGCTTCTGTAATGATCCAAGAAGCTGAGGTAAGAAGAAAACGCACTTGAAAATGGAAGTAAGATTCACAGCTTGTAGTTCATGGTGTAGATTCAGATGCTATGATAAACTGGTTCAAATATTAGAAGGATACCGTGATTTCTAACTTCGGATAGCACAATATCTAATGAGATGTGGTCCATTACAATCTTAGACGGTACAGAGTGTTCAATTACTACTTCATAAGTGCGAAGTTCGGCACCATCCTTTAGATACTGCTTCTTGCGTAGCAAATAGTATTTATGTTGATCGGATGCAGTCGCAATTAGTGTTCTGGTGCCCGTAGTCAAGAAAACACTTAACCGTGACCAAGGAGAAAAGGAAGGTTTCTTCGTGAATTAGCCGACGTGCTGTGAGTAATTCTCATCTCTTCATCAACATCACTGTTTTCGTCTAGCCATTAATAGATCTCGAATGAAGAGGTGTTCGCCATATGTGTCAAGTCGGTAACTTTTAATTTATAGTCGGGAGTTTCTTACTCAGATAAGGCTGAAAGCTCTTGTGCACTAATGATTGATGATGATTAGAAAATCACTTGATCAATGCCGAGGTTAATAGAGAGTCGGTCGTGGCAGTTACTAATGATTATGTTCTATGACCTCACATTTTTACAAGAATGAAAAGATGGGATGGGACGGGTACATCACGCTTCTGTGTAAACTCTGTGCGGTTGGTCTCCAAGTGACATATTCAATGGAAGACTCATGGAAAGCGATGAGTGTGCAAAGACGCTATTCTGCGTTCAATGTGATTGAAATTTTAGTTTAGCATTTTCTGTGTTTGGTTATAGAGGTATGCGGTTGAGTAGATTGCAGTCAACTTTTTTGACCTTTCCAGACTCTGTAAAAGGTGAAATCCGCCGAAGCGTCAGCTTGTGCGTAAATAAAGAAATAAAATAACACCCCGTGTTTGCTAAACAGAAATACAAAAAACGAAAAGAATTCGCTACGTAAAACGGAAAAAGTTAGGATCTGTAACCTAAGTCGCCCGTTAGTTACTTATGATTCAGCGCAGCACATTAACATAATTACTCTCCTATCGAGTAGAAAATAAATCCATTGAATCCAAGCTTCTTAATTCTAGCACTGTGTTTGTAGTCTACCAGAATAAAAATAACGACGCTGAGATATGAGCAAAAGTCTGTCAAAACTCAGTAAGGCTTCGAACTCACGACTACCCTCCTCAGAAGCTCACGTGCTATCCACGCAACCAAACGAGGACCTTCCATAGCCTTTCTTTCTTTCACTCATGTTTTTATTCATCGGTGCTATCAGCAATCGGTCATCAAACAAATAGCAGATAGAGTATAAATAAGGCGGTTAAAAAATAGTGCTTCGCGAATTTACTGGGCATCAAACTTTTGAAAGGGAGCCCTACAAAAGTTTATTTTTAAAAAAGAGCTAAAATATGTATAAAGAAAAAAGATCATCAAAGTGTCTATTTGCCGACGCTGTCAACTAGAGTAATCCAATGGATTCTACTCGCACTAAAAGCTACCTGAACATCATATTCTTATTCTTCCTCCATTTCCTCCTTCTTCCACGCTCCTTCTAGGTTGCTACTAAAATAACATTATTTCGGAACCGACTTTCCTTGAATTCCGGTGTGATTAATCAATATGTATTCTTTCTTTGATGGACTTACACGAGGTTGATAATTATATCTATTTTCGGCTAACGTTTCGACATCTTCGCCTTCCTCATAGCCGATGATCCGAGTCGATGGTCCACGCTTGTTATTCGTCTCGACGAGGCAGCTTCGCCTTCGTGTCGACTCAGGTCTTCCTCAGCGGACCATCTCCTCGAATGAGGAACACTCACTCGGTCATACCCTTTTGTGCAGGTTGCTGATGGTGGATAGCTGTGATTGTCCGGTAATAGTGTGATAGTAACTTGTTTTCCCCTGACAGGAACAGTTTTTTTTTCACAGCTAACAGCCATCAGCAACCTGCATAAAAGGACATCGCCGAGTGAGTACGCTTCAATCGAGGAGATGGCCCGCTGAGGAAGATCTGATTCGACACGAAGGCGAACCTGCCACGTCGAGACGAATAACAAGCGTGGACCATCGACTTGGATCATCGGCTCTGAAGAGGGCGAAGACGTCGAAACGTTAGCTGAAAACAAATAAATATCATTAACAACCTCGTGTAAGCTCATCAAAGAAAGAATACATATTGAAATAACATGGTTTAATGAACTAAGAAAATAAACGACACGGCAAAACGTCGTAGGCTGATTAAAAACAACTGCCGAAATTATTCCAGCACTGATGAGTCATAGAGTTCTAAAGTGACTGTAAAACTAAACCTTCCATTGCATGCGTATTTGGTGTTAGAAAAGACTTTGGGTACGTCGAGTAACTATCAGATCCATGAACAAATGAAAAATATTACGGGTGAGTCAACAGGATGTTAGCCACCAGAAATGATACAATTTTTCCTCTTTCCTTTCTTCTTCACTTCACGCCTCGATGATCACACTTCCGTTTCGATTCACCAGACAAATGATCGGCACTCTTGGGACCATAATAGCATTCAGAGACACAGAGCTCATGCAGAAGCTAATTAGTATTCGAATGGGATGGGCTTCATCTGGCCATTATGTGGACGTACATTTTCATTCTTTCTATTAGGTAAGAGAAGTGTTGGACGGCTGAAGTGCCTTTGAGAACTTTGAAAACGAAACGTCTGATACTTACATATTTTCAGACCGACGTTTCAAGGTTTAATAAGCAGTTGAATCAAAGAGATGGGATCACTTCATCTAATGACGTATCGACTTTATCTCACATATGTGTACTCATAGATTGTGATAGATAGATTAGGTGTGTACTTGGGATTTCATTCACCATGTTGATCTGGAAAATCAAGCACTAAAATTAGTGGGAATTACATAAAAAGCCGACCTAATACCGTATTCAACGGCTAAGTAGCTACAGCAACAGAACCTAATAAACTGCCCTTGACAATCCCCATCATAAACGGCAGAGCATGCGAGCTACCTGCTGGTACAATTCTGCCAATGGGAACAAAGATTTACTGCGAGCAGTAACTCTTAGAAACTTCAATTGTGCTTGCTCGAATCACTTAATGTCTAGTGCAAGCGAAGGTGATACAGCCGATTATTGAATAAAAGCAGTGTTTACGATTACGTCTACACCTTAAATGAGGATATTGCTTGTCCTGCGCCGTTATAGGTTCGAGGAAAAAATCTCTACAAAAATGCTATAAGGTGAATAAGGCATGGCATTCCAATAAAGAGCTTTAGCTAGTGTCCTAGATTTGCTCGGTATTTAGTTTTCGAGCTATCCTTTTACATGAAGTTGTGAAAATTTCTTGTTTTCTCTCTGAGTTAATAGAATAGGCGGTAGCAAGTATGGATCGCAAACACACAAGTGTCACATTTGATATGGCACCTATCCAAACAAAGATTCTGTTTGGTAAGAAATGCGGTCCACGGATTTCCCCCATACGAGGGATCTCGAGCCGGTTAGTCGTGAGGCTACGTGGCGCGTCCCACGGTGGCGGATAGGGGGTCAATCCCAGACCAAAAGAGACCCTTGCTTTCCTGAGACGCAGTGGATACAGGGGATGGACTCTCTGTTTCTGGTGAGCCGATTTGGCACATTTTGTATTTACGAGCGTACTCATGCAAGAGTGTGTGGCTGAGTTCTAGTTTATGCAGATTGTATTCTACGAGTCAATTCGGCCAAAAGCCTGCAATCAAGTGACTGGGAAGTATATGGGAGGAGGTTAGGAGTCGCCTCCAGCAAATAAGCTCCATGTCCACTCTGGGAGAACCTGGCAAGCAACGCGTGAGTATATCCAGCCCCCACGTTTAGAGCCCAGAAAGCTATACATGGGTATCAAAAATGCCAAACACAGTAAAAAAATTTCCCCTGACCCCGAAAGAGTCCCCAATTTCGCAGCGTTGGGTTGGACGAGTACGGAGAGACTGCTAAAATGTCAGGGCCAATAGAAGCTGGCTGGATAACAAAGAACTATGGTAACAATATGTACCTACAATGCACGCACACTTGCATCCGAGTCCTCGATAAAGGACTTGCTTATGGAAGCAAGAAGGATATGGTACGACGTTATCGGCATGGCCGATAAGAGACGACGCCACTCATTCAACACCGTCTGTGACACCGGAAAAGAAATGTTCCTCGCGACATGCGACAGTAGACGAGTCGTCGGTATGGGCGTTCTCGGCAACACGGGTTTCCCCATGAACATCGATTCATTCGACCAGCCTACAACACCAATCAGACGTTTACGATTAAAAAGATGTGGACCAATACCGGCTTTCAAAATCTTCGTCGTTTACGCGCCGACATCAAACTATGACGAAAAAGGAGTCGAAACGTTCTAATATGGACTTGGAGAAGTTCTACAGAGAAAACCACACTTTCCTCAAGATCATCATTGGAGATTTCAACGGCAACATTGGACCAAAAAGAACGTTTGAAAAAAGGCACATTGGGACTCATGAATTAGAATGTATATGAGTTTATCACGGCGACCAAGACCATCCATGGTAACCCGGTTTTGCCTCGGTTTTGCCTAACTGATTTCGATTTTGTACCAAAATTCAACATGGGATCAGACCATCGGATCTCTGGTGCAAGATTCTATTTCTCGCAGAAAGAAGAAAGAGCTGCTAAATTCAAAAACTGAAGTCCCAGAACCACCGCAAACTGGGACTAATTCAATCCATTAGTTGGCTGCTGGGACGATGTCGTTGTAGACAACATCGACGAAGAATACGGTCGGCTCATTCAACACCTTCACGTTAGCGCTATGAAAGCTGAGAGTTCGAAAGTCACAAAGAGACGTCTGTCTCCGGAAACACTCGAGCTGATACGCCAGCGTGGAATCGCAGAAGCTGCAGGCAACCGTGAACTAAATCCCGAACTTACAAAACATTTCAGACAGGCGATAAAAGAAGATCTTAAAGAGAGAAGAGCAGCAGTAATGGTCGAACCTGCAGAGGCGGGAAAAAAGCATTCACAAAGCCCACCGAAGCTTCGCCACGCAAAAGACCAAGATGATTGCACTCCAACCCCCAGGAGTCCAGAAAGACAATGGAGAAAATCATTCACCAATACTATTCAGATTTCTTCGTTAGCCACGTCCACCTTTCGTCATATGAAATAAAGGATGGATATGTTATGCCACAGGTTCTCCCTTCCGAAATCCGACATGCTATTTCGTCGGTGAAAAGTCTAACAGCACCAGGTCTGGACAGGATAAGGCCAGAACACCTAAGGAGCCTTCCGCCAGTCCTCGTAAACACACTGGTCCGGCTCTTCACACGTTATCTGTCTGAATGCAAGGTTCTCAGTGGAAGACCAGCAAGGCCGCGTTATTGTTCAAGATGGGTGTCCTACGCGATATCGGCAACTATCACCCAATCTGCTTGCTGTCTGCGTCTACAAACTTTTCACTCGAGTCATCCTAAACAGGATTGACAGAACATTAGACGAAGGACAGCGATGTGAACAAGAAGGGTTTGAAAGGATTTAGTACGATAAACCACATTCACACGACAACCAGGCTTATTGAAGTATCGCGAGAGTACAAAAGACCGCTGTATCTTACTTTCATCGATTTACAGAAGGCTTTTGATTCGATCGAGATAGAAGCAGTCATGGAAGCCGTTGATAGTAAAGGAGTCCCTACTCAGTGCATAAAGATTCTTCGTGAGCTGTACAAAAATTTCACAACCAAAGTATCAGCATTCTACAACGATGTTAAAATTGACGTCAAAAGAGAAGTTAGGCAAGGGTGATGCCATCTCGCCAAAATTATTTACCTCCACCCTCCAGAACGTCATGCGAACATTGGAATGGAAAAATATGGGAGTGAAAATCGATGGTCGGCAGTTACATCATCTTCGCTTTGCTGATGACATCGTCCTTATAAACATTAGCCAAACGGAACGAATGCTGGTCGACTTTGATAAAACTTGTAGAAAAATTGGTCCTCGACTAAATCCCACAAAAACGATGTTTATGAGGAATGGATTGGTTTCTTGTGCCCCATTCACGCTCAACGGAAATATCTAGGTCGGAAAATCAACATGTTGAATAACTTAGCTCCAGAGTTGAGCAGAAGGAAATGAGCGGCTTGGGGAGCTTTCAAGGACATCGAGGATGTAGTGAGGAGAAGAAAGAAAGCCCGCCTCCGCGCCCACCTTTCCGGCTCAACGGTACTTCCTGCCCTAACGTATGCGTCAAAAACCTGGTCGTTGCGTATGCAGGATGAAAGGTCACTCAGCGTTATCGAACGCGCAGTTGAAAGGACGATGCTAGGAGTGTCCTGTTCCACACAAGTAAGGGATGGGATCCGAATCTCCGATCTGCGTCAACGATCAAAAATCGAAGATGCCGTTCTGTACGCCAACGGTCGAAGATAGGGTGGGCCGGATGCGTAATGACAAGAGCCGTTAGTGGCTGGATGCCTCGGGAAGTCAAACATACTGCAGGGAGACCAACGACCTGATAGTCAGAGTTCTTCACGAAGAGCCTAGAAGAAAGATATGATGTGAGCCCCTAGAGAGAGCAGAACCCATTGGGTCGACGAATCCCTAGAGAGAGCAGAACCCATTGGGTTACTCTTCCACGCGACAGCGAAAAAGGAAAGATTTACTGGCGCCCGATCGATGATCAACGGGATTACAGGTGATACATTTGAAGAAGGGCCGCATAAACTTTTAAGAATTAGCTCGTTCCGAGACAGCAAATACATCTCCAAATTTTCGGCGTGTAATCAACACTAAGGAGGGATTTGTTCCAACTGAGCATGAGGAAATGGGTGGCTTGTGGAGCTTAAAGAAACCGTGTAGGCAAAACAAGCGGCTTGGCATCCACGTTTTCGATGAACCGGTTCATCCGTCTTCATTGTGAGCTTGGAAGCCTGGTTGGTAACATGAAGGATCAGAAAGCACTACCGAATTGTGGTGCAAAGCATAAAACAGTAATGTCTTCGCCGTTGATCAATGCCTAATGGATATGCCATGGATTCGACTTCGTTAAGCAGCCTCAAAGGAGAATGAATGCATATCTTGTGGTACATAGACTCGCGGTGGCCTACCGATGATCGAGCCAGTGCTGCTACCCTCCCAGACAAACTCGGTGTTAATCCGCCGATTCCGGAGAGATGAACGGCTTGGTGAACTCTGCTGAGTGTAAAATCGTACGAACGACCACGTGGGTTCGTAGGGTACTTCTAATCACAGTGCCACAAGCCCCCATGTGATATTAAAGAATTCTTTAATCTGAAAGTGGGAAATTGAATCTGGAGTTCGAGATCATGTCGATCATCTAGTTCTGTGAATGCTATTCCATATTCCAAGATGTTGATGTCAAAAAGGCGGGACACGTGGTGTGTCTTAACGACAACCAGTAAGCGAAAGTCGTCAACAAATGACTCTCAAGAATGCCAAGCGCACAAGACTACAAAACTGTTTCCGTCCTCGTTGGATAGTTTCCTAAAATAATATTTCGGACGTAAGTAAGATTCTCTTTAAGCTACCCTTCATATCAAATGAAGTAAATCACGCCATTAAAAAGTGCTTAAGAAAAAGTGGTCCTGAAAATTATGTAACGATTATTGACATCCCACCCAATACCCTGCGCCGCCAGTTGTTTCGCAACCGTCTCTATAATCGTCTGTGCAGCTCAGAAAACTGTACGATCTGTCCTAACGGGAGGGACGGGGATTGCATGAGTTTAGGTATAATATACTTGATCTCATGTAATGCATGTGGCGAGGAATATATCGGGGAAACGGGTAGACCACTTGGTGTCCGCATAAAAGAACATCGAGATGGAAAAGCTAAAATCCGTCAAAGCACTCCTCTAGGTACGCATTGGGCACAAAAGCACAACGGCGATGATTTTGAAGTGAATGTACGGATCCTAGCGCAGGAATCAAAAACATCAACGCGCAAAACTCTTGAGGCGTTTTGGATAAATTTCAAAAATCCAAAGATGAACCGGAAGGACGAATGCCTCACTATCACGCGTGACCTGGCGCCCTATTTCAAAATGATATTTTGACCCCGGGGCGTGTTTTGCTCGCGACTCCACGTGAACTACGTGTGGGCCAGTCCCGCACTTAACATCACGGTGAGTGGCCTTTCTGTTCAATATGGCGTCTATTTGAAAGTTTGATCTTCATTAATACTTTAACCTTTCTTTTTCACCGAATAATAAAAAATATTGTAATATAAAATACGTCCGTGCTCTGAGGAAGACGAAATCGCCGAAACGATAGCCATCGATCAATGACATCAAAAACAACGACAACGACAACGAAGATCTGTACCAACCTCGCGTCAGCTTAAGAAGATGAGAGAAGAGAAGAGAAGAGAAGAGAAGAAATGATGGACGTTTTTATTATAAGAAGAACTTGTCTTATTAGATCGCTTTCTTCAAATTTACGTATAGGAATGACTGCCGTGAAGAACGTGGTCGTAATAACAATTCATATTTGTACATAAAACTTAAAAAATTGTAGAGCTGTGTGCTCAAAGAATTCCAGAACATTTATTCTGCTGTATAAAAATGATATGCTCGCCTTGTTCTATTTCCTTGCAATAAATTCGGTAACTCTGAAAAGCGGGGTTTAAAACTGAACCGATACCATGTGAGCCATTCGCAACTGACCAGTGCTTACTAGTCCAGGCAAACAAGCAGGAAGAAAAAACGATTGCTCTAAGCTTTCTCACTTCTATGCACTTTTTTGATTAGGAGTCATCTACCACAATAAATATGGAATTGGCAATCGCGCAAGCGATCGATCCAACTAAGCGTGGGTACATAAGGACACTAACCCTAGAAGAAGAGTGGCACGATAAACACGTATTTGGATGTTTCATCGGTTAATATCTTCCAGTAATGAGAAATCGCACACTATGGTAGTACAAATTTAAGAAATTCAAATAATTAAATGTGTCTTTAAACTGAAATTAATGAGATTCTGCACCCCTGATGTTTCAAAAACTCGTATAGTAAACATCTACCGTTCCGCTCTTTTATTTCAGTATGGTGACGGACAAAAAGTGCACATTCGTGTGCACTAGCGAGAATTTCCTAAACGGCTCTTAAAGCTAAACGTCTGGTTTACATTGTTTATTCCAGCGGAAACGCCTACTACGACTACAGCAGGTCGTAGTCGCTATATCAATGTGCTCAAATGAGATCGAAATTATAATATTAATATAGTACTCGAATTTTCAAGCCGCGCTTAATTAATAACTACAAAACGAAGCCGCCTGAAGTGACGTATTTAGAGTCAGTAGTTCAGAGCTCATTCAAAACTCGAACTGAAAGCCAAAATTCCTGAAAATGCTCAGAATGCTCATAG